AGGCATGGTTTTTCACTGAACCAACTCTGTGTGACTAAGCTAGGGTCTGCCCTTTCTGTAATGACAGCATGTGGTGGTGGGGGGCGGCCTTAATGTACATGCCAGCATCTGCCCATTTCTGCTGGCACCTGCTCGTTTCCCATCCCTACTGCCTGCCTCTCCATTGTTTTTGGTCACCATTCGGATCTTGTTGCCGGTTCCCACATTTCTCGGGTGTCTTTTGTCTCATTTCCGGCACCAGTCATCATTTACTGCCTCCCATCCACAGGGGCAGTTACTCCAGAAGTGGCCTGTGTCCCAATAACTCCAGTAAGGCGATCATCTTTGGTCTCTTTGCCTGGTTAGGGACGATCATCTCATCCAGAATGTCCTAGCACTCGTTTTGTGGGGCTTGGCTGTAGGAGCACAGTCTGAGGGCCTGCCTGAGTGCCTTGTTCACCATCTTCTCTCCTCCCAGTAGTAGCTGGATTTTTATGGCGGGGTGTTCTACCCTTTCTGCAAACACCTTGCCTGCCTCCATCCTTATGTTGTCCTCAGGTAGTGTGGGGTAGGCACAGTGGGCAAGCTGTTTGACAGCTGTGGCAAATTCTTGCATGGATTCCCTGACATCTTGGGTCCTCGTTTTTACCTGACTGTGATACATGGTGGCAAGGTGCTGATTTCCAAAGCAGTCCTTCAGTGCCTCAAGGATTTCCTCCTAGGTAGCATATTTCAGGTATCCGCATGGCACATTGGCTACCCGGCCCTGCAAGATGGTGATCAAGCACGTGTATCTCTCCTGGCATGGTTCAGCACTTGTGCTCTGCTACGGTCTCAAACTGGCACTGGAACACAGTCCATGATGTAGTTCCATCAACCTAAGGTGGCTTCGCCACGCCAACGGTTCCTGCTCCTCTTCTGTGCTTGACCCCAACCTCGACTACTTTCAACTGTGTCTGGAACTCCCATCAGGTGGCCTCAATCTTGGCTTCCATCCCATTTTGACTGATCCTTATTTCAGTCTTTATTGTGCCTTGACTTGGAACATGAGGTCAAGCCCTTCATGGAGGTCGCTCATTGTATTTGCAGTGGCCTCATGAAAATCCTTCTCTATGTTCGTTATATTGCCCTTGAGACACCCGGTGCACATATTGATGGATGTTTTTACTGCCTGCTAAGTCCACCTGTGTGTCATCAATCTTCTTGGTCAGTTCCTTGCAGATGCCCTGTGTCTCTTGGTTGACACACAACAGGGCGTCTTCCACACAATGTTTAATGGTCTTCTATGACTCGGACCAGATGGAGTGTACTCAAGCCTCTATTTTCTCTTGATGTACACCCATCCTGGATTCCACTTCTTCTTGAGTGAACAATGTCCTCACTTAGTGGTTATCCATCCAGGAGACAAGAGTAGATCAAAGGACCTCAAACTTCCCATTATTGGTGTCCATCGTGGCTTCTATCTTTCCTTGACTGCCATCTATCCTGGCATCCATCTTTTCGTGGTTTGCTCCTAGCCTTGCCATCATTTATTCTTTCATTTCCTTTAGATTAGTGTCTGCCTTGCCTTGGCTGGTTCTTACTTCTTCCTTCATTTCCTTTAGAGTGAGTCTGTTTTTGCTTGGTTGGTGCCCATCTTGGCAAGCAGGTGTTCCATCATTTGTTATGATAATATAACTTCTTACTGAGGTCTCTAGTTCAAGCACTTCTGACATCAATGGTCAACTGTATGAGTGTGACTGCAGACAGTGTTTGGATTGGTGATTCGATTTACAGACCACTTTACCACATGACATGTGACTACACATAACTATAACAGCATCACTAGTTCACACATCCTACAGATCAGTGTAACTGCAGCACAGCAAGTCTTCTATGTTTTCTCTTCACAGACTCACTCAATAACTAACTCCAGGCTAGCAGCCATCACACAACAACCTCTTAGTTTTTGCTTAGTCTCCCTGCCCTCATTATATAACCCCTTTGCACAGACTGCACAGACAACATTGTTTCCAACAGTTCTGCTATTGTTGCGTGGGAACTCACTGCCGTGGGAACTGTGTTTCGTGGTTGCTACCTAGTAACAGGTCTACTCGTACATGCTACAGTATTTTTGACCAAGTCTGTTTATAATGAACTCCATCCACAAATGGTGTTAACTGTGTGATGAAAATTAGTCAAGGTATTCTATAAAGTGAACAATGAAATTTCTCAGCAATTATAACAATTGTGTACCGCCTTTTTATAAGAGGGCATGCCAATAAAACAAACTCTACTTAATGATGATTCCAAATAAAATGTACAAATTACAAATATCAGAATAAATGTCCTGCAAGATTGGATTATTTCCATCAGAAATAGATTCACTTAAAGTATTTTTTTTAACAATCTATATTTCATCAAAAATAGGTACAAAAAGACATGATTTGATTCACTAAAGTCACTTCTGCATCTGATCAGAATAATGTGGAAATCCATAAGAAGATTTCCACACTCCCTGTTTAACAACTTATCCTAGTTTCATACCCCCTTTTAAATTTATTTGTACCTCTAAACAAATCACTTATTAGCACCCTTTACACACCTGAGAAGGCATGGGGGTGGCACCAAATTTTTTTGTCAGTAACAGATTCTAAAACTCATTGTGCGCAACTCATAGAACTATTCAGGAGCCTCAGAAAGAATAACAACTAAGGGAAGAACATGAACTGAGGGTGAAGATTACAGTCTTCTGAGATGTGACGCCAAGCAGTTTGGCAAACAGATATCAATATTTCAGAGGAACCCGCTGCCTCCATCTTCTGAGGCAGCAAGTTCTTTAAAACTGTTGGTAAACTATATGGCATCACATCCCTGAAGAAAGCAGCCTTCATAGCCACTCCCATGAGAACCTCAAACCTCACAGAGACTGAATGTGTTTACAGAACAGAATTCCAAGGAGAATACTTGAACCCAAACAAAATGAAGTAACAGATCAAGAAAAGTGCATAATGAGGAGTTTTATAATTTGTACTCTTCACCACATGTTCCTACAGCAATCAAATCAAAAGAAGACAGATAGGACATGTAACATGCATCAGAAATATAAGAAAGGCATAAAACTTTCAAATGGAATACTACAAAGGAAGAACTTATAATGTTTTGTAGGCATACTTACTGCCAATCTTTTATTATGGCACCTAACACTTCAGCCACCAATTTACTGAGACAAAAATTAACTATATAACTTCAAAATCTGGCACAATGCAAAAGCAGTTTTCTGTTCTCCATCTTCCTGGTGTGGGAGTCACAAATATGGAAGCCTTTCCTCAGTGAATGTGTTAAATTCATACATATTCCTGCTTCTGTTTTTATTTTATTTTATTTTATGAACTTGCCAGCAGCTGATACTAGACTATACCTAGCACTGAATGGCAATATGATTAGTGAATAATGAATTGGAAGAGATGTGGAAGGAAGAGGTCATGGTTTAATTTGAGGTGCCATCCCAGCAATTGCCCGGAGAGATTAAGGAAGACCAAAGTCAGGATAGCTAGCCTCCAGGCTGTGCTTTGAACCTGGGACTTTCAGAATATGAAGCAAAAATGCTACCCACTAAACAGCCCCCTTTGTTATAAATATTTTTATTAATCCTTACATAAATGTAACACAGTGTGTCTATCTGTAGACATGAATACTTACCTCTGCATGATATGGGGATCCTGGGTTCTCATGACAACATAGCAGAGAGCTGGTAGACCACCCAAATGAACTGCTTGCCTGCAAAGAGAAATAAAAAAAATACAAATTATTTTACTACATTAGCAACCGATATCACAAAATGAATAAAAACCTCTAAGCATGGTACCCTTCACAATGACCACAACAGCGGAACCTAGATGTACGATGCTGTATATTTTTCTCCCAAAACAGATGGATCATTATATTCATGAATTAAGAAAAATGTATAAGAAACCATTATTCAACTATTTATGGAAAACCAGTGCCATATCTCAAAACTAATGTATTCCTGACTACAATGATTCTCAGCCAGCTAGCGAACATGGCTACATCATTGCCAGCTCATGACATATACCATTATGCCATCAATAGCAATTTACTAGATTTTATTTTCAACATACTTCCAGTATTCTTGTGCTAGTGTAAAATTCATACAAGTTGGGTTAGAACTTTTCTCACTCAATGGCAGAGCATATGTGTACTGTTTCATTAAACTATTAACATACTGTATTACTTTTACTGAGAATAATGTTACTCTTGCTATTCTTAGAAATAACACCTTTCCAGTACTAAGTTTAACTTCATTTTGCAGAACTAATCCATTCTTACTTTTCTTAAAATTTGCTTATTATATTATTTGCTTTCTATAAACCAATGAATATTTGTAAGATTTGCGGTTTTCACAGCAATGACTATGAAGAATACCATCTTATGGAATGTAGCACTGTGTAGATCTTGTGTGAACCAACATTTCGGAGGAATGTATCGCCTCCATCTTCAGGGTAGAAAAATCTGCAAGTGTGGAACTAGTGTGAGCAGGTGGTTGCAGTCAGCAGTCTGACCTACATGGTGCCACATCCCAGAAGATGGCATTCTTCAATGAATTTTTTCCTGAGAATATCAATGACAGGTGCTTCAGTTTTTACATTNATATTTAAGCATCCTGTTTCACTCTATACGATATATGACATAAACACCGTCCCAAGTGAAACAATTTATTGTAGTTCTTTTGTCTTGCCCTCTTCTACACTATATGTTTCAGCCGCAAACGGCCATCATCAGGTGTATACACTTACGTAGCTGTGAAACAGTTAGTGTAGAAGAGGGCAAGACAAAAGAACTACAATAAATTGTTGCACTTNAGGCTACATAAGGAGCAGCGAAGGCTATTCCCAGTCAGTTGTACTGAGTCAGTCAGTGAGTCCTGGAGCTACCTATGAGTCATTCCTCGAGCTACGTTAGTTCCGAGCTAGCCAGCAACCAGTCAGTTGTATTGTGGCATTTGGAGTGTACTAATTGTGATACTGCACATAGCAGTAATCGTAAATCTGTAATTTGGGTGATTGTAAGTGCGAATGTGAAATAAAATTCGCTA